ACCCTTTTATGTAATGGTGTTTACTTTGAATTTATATTAGTTCACACAAACACTCCATCCATGCTTTTGTTCCGGCCCTCCGGTCCAGTTTAAGAACCCATTGTGGCCCTCGAGTCAAAAAGTTTGCCCACCCCTGGTCTAGACAGTTCAGCTCGGAATAGAACCCACTCGCCTCGGCAGTGGACTGTTGCTGCTCACAGTGGCTAGGCTTTGCAAAATAGTTCCAAAAAGGGAATTTGGGGATTGTTTTCAGAAGGACTGGTGTCTCTTTCAGAGACAAACATTTGAGAATAGTAACTGAAAGATTCTTGCAGAGCTGTACATCTGACCAGTTGACTCTATTATTTCTCATTTCTCTAGGCAAACCCACCCTGTTTGCTGTCCACTGTCCAGTATATCAGTAGCTTCTATGCCAGCTGTCTGTCCGGAGAGGAGTCCTACTGGTGGATGCAGTTCACAGCAGCGGTGGAATTCATTAAAACTATCGATGACCGAAAGTGACCAGGACCCAGGCCACCCAGGCAGCAGACTGTTCGGCCGGCAAACCGACCTCTAGGAAAATGTGCCAGCTGCTCTGCAGGCGGGAGCTTGTTTTGTATCATATTGTACAGCATTCAGACATTTTAAAACAGATCTTTACTAAACAGATTAATGCACTAACTAGCAGGTTCTCTTTCCTTTGGGCTCTTCCTTTCTGAATTGCATATTATCCTTTCTTGTCCCCAGGTAGAGAATAGTACTGTAAAAAGGGACCACATTTTTCAGGTATTTGAAATACTAAACCTCCTAGAAACAAAGCAGAACCTCCTACAACATTTTTAGATCTCCGTTCCTGGATACCCATTCTTTCCTTTTACTGAACAAAAAAGAGCAGTGCACCCCTTTCAGGATGCTGTGCGCCCCTGTAGGGGTCCATGGAGGGAATGGGCGCTGCCCTGAGGATTAAAGGTGACATCGTGGCATTATCTATAAATACACTCACCTAAATTGAAAGCTAAGAAGGAAATGTAAATATAATATATATTTATATTTGATGTAATATGGACATCTTCAGATTCTAATAAACAAGGAATATTGCTGATAGTAGATTGTGATGTACCCTCTTGTGAAATGGTTTCCTTGACAAAATTTAAGCTGAGCTTAAAATCAGAAAACAAAAAAGTATGCAGAAATATTTATGAAAGTGTAATACAGGTTATTGAACTTCCTAGGTGTGGAGCTTGATGCCAGGGCTGCCTTTGGTGAGAGGTATCCGTCATGAGTAAGTCGCCCAGACATTTCTCACTGCACATCTCTGAGCTCAGGAGGGGAGAGATCTCTAACCGCCATACACTCATCCCAAGGAGCCGTCGTATCTAACCCTTCATGTGGTACTTCTCCTCTGAAATACGGAACATACAGAACCCCCAATGGAACTCCTCACCACCCTCTTGTCATATTTTTGATGATGATTCACATTGAATGCACAGACCAGGAATTCAGTGAATGTCATTTTTTAAAACAACTAATTTGTATTGTCTGCTCTAGTGATCCAAGTTTTATTAGTGATGAGCTATTTTAATCAACCATACAATTCTTACAGGAAAAAAATCTATTTTGGCTGGTTTCTGTGCCTTTATTCCCTCTTCTGAAGAAAAGTATGTGTTTCAAGATTTTGTTTTGATTGTATATTGATAATTAGTCAGGAGTTGGTTTTGGTGTCTGAGAAATTGGCCAAGGAGGCAACCAAAGCTTTAAGCACAAGCCTTGTACCCGGTCCCCACCGACTGGTTTCACTTTGTGTTTCTAATCACGTTTAGCTTCTTGTATAACAAACTCGTCCCATACCTTGAGCTCCTCGTCACTGACAGCGCTTCCAGGCGTTTTTAAGGGAACGGTGACGGACACCTGGAGCTGGTGAACACAGCTCGTCTTCTCCCTCCCTCCCTCCCAGATCTCCGCGTCTCGTTGTGCCGAAGGAAGCTGGGTTTTCTTTATGCCTCCACCGCTTCTCATTCATTTATTTTAAAACACCCAAGTAACAAGCTGCATAGGCGTGTGGGAAGCAGTGTCTGCCTTTTGGGGAGCGGTCAGACTTAAACTAGTACTACAGTCCTTTGGAGTGTTCGGTCGTGTGCTTCCTGGGCTGTAAGGCTCAAACGTGCCCAGGAACGAGAAGTCAAATCCCGTCATAAATTCTTTACAAGACAGACTGTCAAACACGGTTTCTGAGACCTAGAGGGAGTCCATTTTCTTCAGCATTTGATTCAATAAATGTTAAGTCAACAGAAAACTCGCAATAGTTGAACATCATTGTTACGGGATTTAACTCGGAAGTCAATGAGAGATTTTTTTCCCTCCGTGGCTGCTAAATCTGTTCCATGTTATCACCATGGAAATAAATATGAAGATGTGGACACTGTGCAGGGCTCTTTTCTGTGGAGCAGAAGGTGTTGAGTTTGGGGTGCAGGGCTACCCTGAGGCAGGAGAGGGGGCTCTAAGGGCTTGCGCCAGGGGTGAGAGTAGAGCCCCAGAGATTGGCATCAGAGTTGCACCTCTGAGGTGCAGGTGGGGACTGGCAGAGACACGCGGCCCAGCTGGTGAAGGGGCAGGAGAGTGCCTGTGGGCACCTTCCGGAGCAGGGACCCCTCCCCATCCCCGTCACTGGCTTGATTCACGACCAGGTTTCTCAGGGCTGACGTCTGAACTGGGATTGGCAGCTACCTGCCTGGCGGGCGGGGTGTGAGGCAGGGAATCACTTGACTTTGCTCTTTCAGGAAAGGGGCGGTTCTGTTCTTTGGATGTTTCTTACCACGCTGACCCCAGAGCTGCTTTTACACGGAGGGTTAGTGCGAAAGTGCCAAGTCACCCCTCGGACACACTCAGTAGCCACCAACTATCCCCTGGAATTTACAGATACCGAATGTCAACCGAGGAGAGAGCGGCTCAGTCCACGGAAATCTTGTAGAACTAAACTAACCTTCTAGTTTGTATTTTGTGTTCAGGTCCTGCTTCTGGAGAAAGTTAAGTGATAGAAATACAGATTTGTCTTGTAAAATTGTCTTGTAAACCTGGTGAACACTCCACTCTAGGTCAAATCTCAGTCACAACTATTGCTTTCTCTTTCTTTTACAAACCTGCTTCTGAAAGCCTTTACTATATAGGCAATTAAATCGCTGTAGGGAGAGAAGAGGCTTTGTGAGGGGTTGACAATAGGTATGATGCGAGGCTTTTCCTGGAAGCCTTAGTTTAACAAGGACTTTCAACAGACATGTTTTTGAGGTGCATAAGCAATAGGACAAACACACCGCCCACCCCGGCCCGAACAGCACGGAGCCCAGCTCTTGCCCAGAATCCTGCCCAGTGCGAGTGTCTGACGGTTCCCTGTTGCTGCCCTGGGAATTTCAGTTTGGGCCAAGTAGGTGTTCTAAGTGAGGGGGCTTGTAAGAACTTTCTCTGATGTGAGTGGGTATGGCAAGGAAAGCGGGACCCTCTCTCAGACTCCGCCTGCCTCGCCGTCCTGCTTTGCTTTAAGGAAAAGTGTTTGCCCTCTTGTTAGTTCCTTTGCGTCTGGTGGACATACTCTGTATGCAGTTGCCATAATCTAGAGCAGTGGTTCTCAACCTTCCTAATGCCGCGACCCTTTAATACAGTTCCTCATGTTGTGGTGACCCCCAACCATAAAATTATTTTCGTTTCTACTTCATAACTGTAATTTTGCTACTGTTATGAATCGTCATGTAAATATCTGATAGCAGGATGTATTTTCATTGTTACAAATTGAACATCATTAAAGCATAGTGATTAATCACAAAAACAATATGTAATTATATATGTGTTTTCCGATGGTCTTAGGCAACCCCTGTGAAAGGGTTGTTTGATCCCCAAAGGGGTCGCAACCCACAGGTTAAGAGCCGCTGCTTTAAGGAAAAGTATTTGCCCTCTTGTTAGTTCCTTTGCGTCTGGTGGACTTACTCTGTATGCAGTTGCCATAATCTAGACTCTAGATTAGATTCTAGAGGGAAATGAGCAGTTTTGAAGTGGAAAGTAGATTACTAGTGGAGAGCCTTGAGGTCCTGTGAATGCCAATCAATGGAGGGATGTAGCCCAAGCGCAGTGAGGCCGTGGAGGTGGCCAGAAGGACCGGGGGTGTTCGGAACCCCTCCTAGAAGACGAGGCTGCCACTGGGCTGACTCGAGGGGGAACTTGGGTCTCTGGCCAGTGAACGCAACTTTAGGCACTTAGCTGCTTTCCAACTTTCTTGAATGAACTTGAACCGTGACTGGTAGGAGTTCCTGGAGTGGCACTCCCCTCCGACATCAGCCCGCAGAGCCGGCACTGAAGGGCAGCGCTGGCTGCCCCTCCAGCCGCCCAGGACGCGCGGACAACCTGCGAGCACAGAGATCACTCGACCCATTAACTAAGAGTCTCCCTTGTGCGCCCAGGTTCTATGCTGTGGTCACGAGTTGTGACGCTGGCAGGGGATTCCTGAAGCCCCCCTCTGGGTTTGGATGCTGCGAGCCTTAGGGCCCCACCTCTCGTGGTCTTCCCTGCCCCAACCCCGGGGCACCCGGACCTCGGGAAGATCCTCCTGAAGAAACATCTCTTGAAAGTGCCTCCACTTCCACAGCCACTTTTCCCACCTCCATTAGCACCGCGGCTCCGGACTGGTTTCCATGCCGACCGGCCCTGTCTCCTGGGTGCACATAGAACTAACCAAGTCCCATCAGATCCCTCTTCTGCCTCAAATCTTCTTTTCTAGTTTGGTTCCTACTTGCTTTTCAGCCTAATGCCTTTGTCCCTTCTTCCTCTCCAGCCCCTCAAAACTCTCCTTGTCCCCCAGGGAAAATCATGCTTTGCCACCTCTAGGCCTTCGCCTGCCCCTCACCCCTCAGCCTCCCCAGCCCCCATCCTTCCCTCCTTTTCCAATGAGGCCTCATCCCAGGACCTTGTCCACAAAGCAGTCCCCTCCCTGGAGCCCATGCTCTCCTTGGGGACTGTCGGGCCCCAGATGGCAGGTGTCCGGCAGATTGCAGGTGGGGATGGGTGCGGGGCAGGCAGTAGCGCACCTGCCCCCTGTGGGGTGTCACTCTGTTCCTCTCAAATTGGACCCCTGCCTGGACAGAGGCTCTCCCTCCTTCCACGTGGCCTGTGGCCGGGCTGCTCTTCACGTTCCCCGGAAGACACTGCGCCCGGAGATCTGCACGGGGTAGGCTGGGTGGTGGAGGCCCCACACAACCCAGTCCTGCCGCCAGGGTGGGGCCTGGGCCCCTCCAGCACCCCTCTCTCCAGGCGCTGCGCAGCCAGCCACCACCCTGCCCTGTACCGTGTGCATCCCGGGGAGAGAGAGGCCTGGTCACCGAGGTCACCCCTCCCAGGCCCGGCACCCGGCCTCCTGGAGGGTCAGGCTGGGGGCCCAGGACGCCCAGTTCTCAGGCTCCAGCTGGTCCTCAAGTCTGGAGACCCCAGGACACTTGTTGGGGCCTCGGCAGCTCCTGCTGCGCTCCCTGGCCCGCTGTGGGTCCCCAGATCTGGGCTGCAGGCTGCCCCAGGGTGGGCTGGGGACCAGGGCCAGGGTCAGGCCTTTCCTCTCCCACTTCTAGGTGCCAGGTGGCGGCCACTCGAAGAGTTGGTCAGGGCCCTGCAGAGGATAAGCCAGTGTCACCTCTCCGGCTCCCACGCCCCTCCTTCCCGCCCCCCTTGCCTCCCTGCCCCAGGCATAGGCGGGGAGGAGGCTCTCAGCCCCGGCTGCACCCAAATCTCTCCTCACCCCCACCCCGCCTGCCTCTTCCGCAGGCAGGGGGTTTAAGCCTACCCTGTGAAGTCAGGATTATTACCCCTATTTATTTACTAACTCAGGTGGGGTCTCCACCCGGTGTCCTCCGGGGACACCAGTGCCGTGTTCTGAAAGAAATTCTGGGATTTGGACCCACCGCAGCTTGCCTGCCTTGGGGGCTCTTCCCTGAGGCGTCCCAGAGGCGGGGCGGTGAGAGGGCTGTGGCTGGAATTCGGAATTTGCTGTTGCCTGGGTTGAGGTCGGCCGGCCCGCTTCCCTGCAGGCCTGCTTTGCTGTTCCTTGGGTGACATCTTGTGGCCAAGATGGGTACAAACCGTTGGTGGAGAAGGCCGCCCGTGAAGGCCTCCCTGGAGGAGGGGTGAGGATGCCCGGGAGGGAGGGAGGGAGGGAGGCTCCTGGCACAGAAGTACCAACCAGCCCGTCCCTGAACTCTTCACCAGGTCAGCTCTAGATGGCCCCCAACTCGTCCATGTGCCCTAGACCCACAAACACACCGGCTCCTCTCGGCCCACCTGTGATGCAGCAGGTAATAACCACTATTCTCTCCATACAAAGCTTTTCTTTTGTAAAATATTTTTAAAATATATTCTTTATGGATTTCAGAGAGGAAGGGAGAGGGAGAGAGAGATAGAAACATCAATGATGAGAGAGAATCATTGATCGGCTGCCCCCTGCACACCCCCTACTGGGGATCGAGCCCACAACCCAGGCCTGTGCCCTGACCAGAATGGAACCCGGGGCCCTTCAGTTCGCAGGCCGACACTGTAACCACTGAGCCGAACCGGCCAGGCCCCTACAAAGCTTTTCTATGGCAGCCCAGTGACAGATGAGCCCTGAGTCACACAGCCAGTGAGTAACCAAGACAGGGCACTGAGCGTCTCTAACGCTAGGAGACTGAGCCGGACACAGTGCTGAGCACCGTGGGAGCCCCTGCACCCCGTTGTCTAGGGAGGTGCCACCAAGGGTAACAGCCACAATGCACCTCGAGACCTGGGGCCATTCCCATGTAGCAGGCACAGAGCGAGTGCTTCGCTCGCATTACCTCCCAGGCTCCGCCCCTGTGAGCGGGGAGCAGGATGAGGCCCACTGTAGAGATGAGGAGTCGGAGGCTCAGAGAGGTGAAGCGGTTTATCCAAAGCCACACGGGAAACACGTGGCAGAACCGGGATCTGAGCCCGGTCTGGGAGATCAGGAGCCCTTCTTTGCAGTTGCAATGGGCTCCTGTGTGGCCCCCTGCAAAATAGCGGGCCCACGGGATTGTGGGGGAATCTCGGGACAGAAGGAGCCCTGCAGACGGTGGGGGACAGTGCCCGGCCGGTGCATTATTATCCTGATCCTGGCGGGACGTCCTCTTGGGTGTGTGAGCCCCCGGAGGGCAGGGCCGGACACCTGCGGCCTCCCCAGTGCCCAGCGGGAACCTGGCACATACTGGGCATCAGCAGATGAGACCGAATTTGAGTCTCTGGAGCAGAAGCCCACTTCCCCACCCCTCCACCCGGCCAGGCCCACGCCTAGCGTCAAGGCCACGGCAAGGACGGACGGAGGGTCTCCACCTCCCGACTCCCCTCTTTCAGAAGGAGGGCGACCTTCTCCTCCTCCCTTGTAAGGAGCTGGCACCTG